TTTTAATCCATCGTCAGGGCAACGTTCCCAAAGCTGCCCGCGACCGCTGCCCCCCAGCGCCTGCTGGCCCGGCCCGGCAGGGCACCGCGCGGCCCGGACGCTCCATGCACACAACGAAAAAGGAGGAAACGCACAAAACCGCAAGACGCTGGTAAAACCGGCTCTAACCTTGGTATAAAAGAAAGGACGCGGGGTGGGGGAGGGAGGGGCTTTTTTTTCCCCAGGATTTTCTCTTTTTTTCCTATAAAAACAAAAACTTGCCTCGAGTGGCAGGGACTGGGGGGAGGGGCCCGTGCCAGCCCGGCCGGGAGCGAAGGACGCGCTAGTGTTGAAATTCTCACAGGACGGGGAGAGAAGGGGGCGGGGCGGCGCTGGCGACAGGCGCAGGATCCCTCCTCCTCAGGTGCCGCAAGCCAGCCCAGGGATCAGGGCTCGTCGGTGGTGGATCCCGCACCTGGCGAAGTGGGTTCAGGGATTGTTGGTGTTAGCAGTGGGATCCTTCCATCAGCGCTAACAAAGGTCAGGGATCATTGGTGGGAGCTGTGGGATGCTTCCCACAGCTGGTGGGTGAAGGGGATCCTCCTCCCACAGCAGGGCAGGACAGGGTAAACCCTGCTGTCCTGATGCCCCCCACTGCTCCAGTCCCCTCTTCCAATGGTTCTCCCGCCCCCGTCCCGCCCCCCCCAGAAGTCTGTCAGGGCTGCGGTCCCAGGGCGGGGGCAGGGCCTGGGCCGTCTTCTCCATCCTCCTCGTCGGCTCTCGGGGTCGCGTGGAAATGAAACGGGGTGTGGGGGGGAGGGGTTAAAACCACCAAAAGAAGGATGACGACGCGGGACGAGGAGTGTCGAGGACGCCCCTTATCGGGTCTGTTCAACTGCGGGAGGGAGAGGAGAGGCAGGTTAATGGCTGCGGCCCTGGGGACCCCCCCCTCAGCTCCGCCAGGGGCCGGCCACCTCGGTCTTTTCACCCCCAGCCCTAGATCCCTCCCTGGGCTTCCCCCATTGGTCGTCCCACAACCCCACCAGTTGTCCACGCCTCCTCCCCAGGATCTGCCCCCCAGGTCCCCAGCCCCCCGGGCACTCACTGTAGGAGGAGATGTCTATCTCGTCGGGCAGCTCGCTGATGTTCACCTCGAAGCGATCCTGCACGTCGTTCAGGATCTTGGCGTCGTTCTCATCCGACACAAAGGTGATGGCCAGGCCCTTGGTGCCGAACCGCCCGGCGCGCGCCACCTATGGGGATGGTGGTGGGGTCAGAGCTTTGCGATGTCAGTGGGGGGGTCATTGCGCCACCCAGCCCCCACGCCCCTCCCAGAGCTGGGGAGAGAACCCAGGAGTCCTGGTTCCCAGCTACTCCTGGGGGAATCCTGCACCAGCCCTGAATTCACGTCCCCCGCAGATTTCTTTGCTTCCCCGCAGAAAAGTGACACTCTGCCGGGGGAGCAAAGGGAAGCCACAAGAGCGGTCATGTGACCCCCCCCCCGCGGTGTGTTTTGGGTGCCCGGGGCAGCCAGCCGAGTTAAATCACCGTGGGGCAGGGGCGGGACTTGGCAACACCTGGCTGGTGGCTCTTACCCCGCGCCAGGATCAGCTGCTAGTCCCAGCTGGGCTGGGGGGGGGGTGGGACTTCCTCTTCTCCCACCCCCAGATTTCTCCCCCAGCTGCAGGAAGATCTGCAACCCCCCACCACCACCACCACACACACACGGCTAGTTCCTGTGCCCCCTGCTTCTCAGCTGCAGGGGGAGGGATCCTTACACCGGGACCACCCCACCAAGCCACCAGATCCCCACCCCCCAAGCATCTGCCCCCCCACCGAGCTCTATCCCCTCCACATTCAGACACTTCCCCCCCACACACACACCTGCCCCAACCACCTTCACCTGGACCCCCTGCAGAGTCCTGTTACCGTTGCACCCAGAATCCTCCAACTAGCCCGTGTGCATCCAGATCCCCCACTGAGCTGCCCGCACTCACACGGCCCCCCCACAGAACTTCACCCCACACCTGGACCCCCCCCCACTTTGATCCTGCCTTGCTGGGCCTACCTGCCCACACCTGGTACACCTGGCCTGGGGTGGGGGGGGACCCTGGGGTGTTTCTGGGGCAGGTTCGGTCCCTGTACTGTCTCGGGGTGGGTGCAGCCTCACCACCGAGTCTGTGTCCCCGAGGGGCTGCAGGGGGATCTCCCACCCCACCCCCTGGTGCAGCTAGGGGCCTGTGCTCTCCATGGCCAGGCTGGAGCCTCCACATTTATTTGACAAAAAAATTCCAGAATTTTGCAAAACTTTCAAATATTATGTGAATTTTTTGGCACAGAAAGTCCTCAGGAGTACGCCCAGCCCGCCCTGCTCTCACCACTAGCCCCCACTCCCCTCCCAGTGCCAGGGAGAGAAGCCAGGAGTCCTGGCTCCCAGCGCCCCTGCTCTAACCCACCAGTCCCCACTCCCCTCCCGGAGCTAGGGCAGAACCCAGGCACCCCAGAGGATGGGACCCAGGTGTCCGGCTCACCCGGTGCAGGTAGGTGTCCGAGTCCTCGGGCATGTCGTAGTTGAAGGCGATGTTGACCCGCTCGATGTCCATCCCCCGCCCAAAGAGGTTGGTGGCCACCAGGATCCGGCGCTGGAAATCCTTGAACTGCTGGTAGCGGGACAGCCTGGGGGGGGAGAGGGGGGCGGGTCTGGGGTCACTGCCTGGCCTGACCTGGCAGCCCTCCCCCGGCACAGAGCCCCCTGGTGGCCTTGTCTCCCTATTGGCAAAGCACCCCCACTGTGACACTAACCCCATATTCCTCATTTACATAGAATTGTGATCTTGCACATGAAGCAGGCCACGCGCGGTATGGGGGAGGGAGTCACTGTTTTAACGAGCATCATGGGAACGTGCTGCACGGCTGGCACGGGAAGCGCCCAGATGCCAGCTCTCCGGGGACATGCCATGGCAGGGGGTACCCAGTGCCCGGCTGGAGGTTCAGAGTCACAATCCAAAACCTGCTTCGTTTGCAGGCAAGAAACGTATTCGCACGTTTCTCTTTGCCCGTGAGTTTGCACGAAGCGTGCGGTCAATCTGCTCAGGTTTGCACCGTCTGGCGAACCACCGGCGAAGCAGTGAACCAATTCATAACCGTGCGCCGCTCGGCGTACTGCTGGGGTGCAGTGCTGGGAGCTGGGGGGTTCGGCTGGCGAGTGGCTCTGGGCGCATTCCCACATCCAGGTGGGTGGGGGGCTCCACTTGTGTTGTGCTGAGTGATCACGTGGCCCGGTGGGGGAGGTCACTGCTGGTCACTAGCCGGGCACTGTGAGAGACGGCCCAGGCTGGGGAGTTTGGGGGATCCCGGCACCCCCATCTCTCCCGGCTCCCCCTCACCTCTCCTCCTGGGGCATGCCCCGGTGGATGGCGATGGCCGGGAAGTTCTGCTCCACCAGCAGCTGGGCCAGCGCGATGCAGCGCTGCACCGACTTGACGAAGATCACCACCTGGGGGGGGGGGGGGAGGAGGGGGTGAGAGAGAGACAGCACCGCCCGGATGCCTGGGTCCCCGCCCCTCCCCGGACGCCTGGGTCCGCGGGCGCTACCTGGTTGAACTCCAGCACATCGAGCAGGTCGAAGAGCTTGCGGTTCTTCTCATTGTCCTTCAGCTTGACGTAGTATTGCTGCAGGCCGTGCAGCGTCAGCTTCGTCTCGTCGTCCACGAAGATCTCCATGGGCTGGGGGGGCAGAGCAGGGTGAACCCCGCCGCCCGCGCTGGGGGAGAGACCCCGCCCCCCGATACCCCAACATTCCTCCCAGGGCCCCCCGGATAACGCCCTGCTCCCACGGCCAACGCTGACAGCCCGGACACCTGGGTCCCAGCCCGACGCCCCGGGGCTGCGAGCCGTGGGGCCCTTCGGGTCCTGCCCGGACGCCTGGGTCCCAGCCCGACCCCCGCCCGGGCTGCGAGCTGTGGGGCCCTTCAGGTACCACCCGAACGCCTGGGTCCCATCCTCTCATTCCCCAGGGCTGAGTGCCCTAGGAAGCCCCATTCACCCTAGATTGCTTCGCCCAGGTTGGGGTGCCACCACCTCCACAGACAGTGGGTGGGGGGCCTGTGGGGAAAGCACCCCACTACTTTCCACGACCCCCCCCCAGCCAATGCCATAGGCCTGATGGCCCCTTCGGGGGATCGTGGGGGAGCAGCCCCCCAAGACATAATCCCTCCACCCACAGCCAGCCAACAGGGAGGGCGAGGTCAGAGGGCACAGACGCCAACCTGCCAGCGCCCAGAGCATGCTGGGAAATGGAAGGCAAGGAAGGGGCTAGTGCCAGCTAGGTTGCCTGCCTTCTCTGGTGCCAGGTGAGATTTCCCAGCATGCACTGGGCTTCCAGCCACGAGGTGAGAGTTCTAGGCCTCTCCCCTTGACACAGCTCCCAGAGTGCACCAGGAAATTTCCCAGCATGCACTTGTCTTCCAGGGCAAACCCCGAGCCTGGGAAAATGCCCTCCCCTTGGCGTAGCTCCCAGCATGCCCCGGGTGAAGCCCCCCCTCGTCCATCTAAGGGAGGAGGGGTTCCGATTAACCCCTTGCCTCCCACACCCCACTGCCTCCCATCTCGCTCTCGATGGAGGGGGGGGAAGATTTGCTGTGAGCCCCACACCCCCCCAGTCCGGTTCCGAAAAAGGATAAGCCGGATCCTGGCGCCGCCGAGTCTCCGCGAGCCGCCGCCGGGCCGTCTCCGCTCTCTGCGCTGCTCTTCGCCGCAGGGGGGCGCCGCCGGTCTCCAGAGCGCCGGGGGGCTGGGAGGGGGGTGGGGGTCTCTGGCATTGTGCGTGGTAGGCGGAGCACTCACTTGCCTGGGTGTATGGGGCCAGCTGATCCGGAGGCCGTGGTGCCGGGCAGGAAGGGGGGCGGGGGGGAGGGCGGGAAGAGGGGGCGCCCTGCGTTCCGCGCCGGGGGGTGCCGAGCTAGCGTAACCCGAGTGATCTTCCGGAAGCTCTGGGGGCCTGAGCTAGGGGCCGGTCCGGGCGCCGCGGGGCGCCGGGGGGGCTAAGAAGGTAGAAGGGGGTAATTACGTCTTGCATGAATTTGCGGCAGACGGGGCGGATTTCCTTGCTCAGGGTGGCGCTAAACATCATGACCTGCTTTTCGTGCGGGGTCATGCGGAAGATCTCCTGGACGTCCCGGCGCATATCTGGGGGGAAAAGGGGCGGGGTCAGCTACGGGGTGCTGGGATCCCCCCCTCAGAAACCTGCCCCTCAGCCCCCAGCTGGGCAGGGCGGGGTCAGCTATGGGGGGCCGGGACGCCCCCCTCCCCGGAACCTGCCCCTCAGCCCCCAGCTGGGCAGGGTCAGGAACGGGGTGAGCCCCGGGCGCCCAACTACCCCCAGGATAACCTGCCCCCCCCCATGCTACAGGCCCCCCCCGCTCACCGAGCTGCTCCAGCATCTTGTCGCACTCGTCCAGGATGAAGTGCTTGATGTGTTTGAGGTTGAGGCTCTTGTTGCGCGCCAGGGCCAGGATCCGGCCCGGCGTCCCCACCACGATGTGGGGGCAGTTCTTCTTCAGCACCTCCTCGTCCTTCTTGATGGACAGGCCCCCGAAAAACACCGCCACCTGGGGGGGGGGCAGGGTGAGACCCCCGCCGGCGGTCCCCCGGCGCACTGAGCCCCACAGGCTGACTGCCCCCCGGCGCCCCAGCCTGGCTCCCTCCCCCGAGCCCCCCAGCCTGGCTCCCTCTGCCCGAGCCCCCCGGCGCCCCAGCCTGGCTCCCTCCCCCGAGCCCCACAGCCTGGCTCCCTCCCCCAAGCCCCCCGCTGGCGGCCCCCAGCAC